TCGTTTTTTTTTTTTTTAATTCGATTTATTTTTATTTTGGGGAAACTACGCGGGAGTCAGAAAAACGAGTTATAATTGCAGTATGGGCCAAGATACAGTTTGCAATTGCAGCTGGGGCAATGTATACAAACCAACTTTTTGGCCAGGTAGGGTGCCCGAAGTGCAATTGCAAACTGTATCTTGCCCCATGCTGCAATAATGCAATTATAACTCATTTTTGTGACTCTACTGAAGTTACCCTTTTTATTTTTCATTACCGGGCGTTGGTTCCCCGACCCCCGTCCGATGCAGGGCGTTAAAGGCCGCGTGGTGGTATTAACATGCTATTGCAACCCAATATGAGGAATGCACTTCTAAGTATGAGGAATGCAGTGGTATCACAGACAGTGTCTAATTGCCTGGCCCCTTGGCCAAGATCTAACATATGCAACGTCAGGGCCACCACAACTTCTGGCCCTAGCCTGCCAAATCCAGAAGGCTGACCGTCCCCCACTTGAGAAGACCTTTAACAAGCTTACTGTCTGGAACATGATACATGCTGCCCGAATGGTTGCGTCCCCGCGTAGAACGCGGTATAACAGTTAGTAAGAAGTGCACTCTACAGATTGGTGTGAAGTATGGTTAAAATGACCCTTTGTTTTTTTTATAAATGGAGGTGAAAAATGGGGGGTCGGTTAACCTTCTGTCACCCCTAGCGGGGTCTATGACCAACACGGGTGTGAGTGTGAGTGTGAGTGGGTTGTGTGTGGTGTGTGGGAGAGTGTTGGCCATAGGCTCTACTGCTACTTGATGAAGGGTGGGGGACGATGAGAAAGAGAGACACAACTATTGGCACGTCTTGATCTTTGTGTTCGCAGCCCGTCAGGGATGCGTTTCCCCCCCCTGAGACATTCAACGTTCAACGTCAATTTCAACGTCGGTGGTCGTCGGGAGGGTGGGCATTTAAGGTTTTGGGGCCTTGCAAGGGCCAGGAACGCGTAGGACCGGTAGCTGCGAGTAGGAGGCCGAGGAGGCCGCAGTCCTTTTTCAAAATTGAAACGGTGCGGGTAGTCCCTTTTCGAAATTGAAACGGTGCAGGTCCTACACGTTGTATTCGAATACAATCTGCACCCTTTCTATTCGGATTTCGAAAAGAAAAACCTCTTGTATTCCGATAAAATTACTTCTTCTTTTTGTTGGAGGTCAGCCCCTGCCCTTGTGCTCCCCGCCA